GGCCTGTGTATCAGCCCTGGCCCCTTGGAAAGATCCTCGTTGGATGGAACGGGGTGTGCCCCTGGGAATGGTGTGCAGAAGGAAGGTGGTCTCGACAGACGCCTTCAACACGGGTTGGGGAGCGCTGTGCGATGGCAAGCCAGCTTTCGGCCACTGGTCGAAAGAGGAAGGCCGGCTTCACATCAACTGCCTGGAAATGCTGGCAGTGTGTCTGGGCCTTCGAACCTCTCTGCCAGACCTAAGGGGACACCACGTCTTAGTCCGCTCGGACAGCATGACGGTAGTGTCCTATATAAATCGCCAGGGCGGTCTCTCCTCGAAGCGCCTCTTCGCACTAGTGGAGCGCCTCTTGGAATGGGCTCAGCTCAACTTGCGCTCGCTGAGAGCAGCGCATATACCGGGCAGGCTGAACCAAGGAGCAGACATGCTGTCTCGGAGCAACGTCCCCTCGGAGGAGTGGACGCTCCACTCTCAAACGGTTCAGAAAATCTGGGAAATCTTCGGCAGGGCAGAGGTCGACCTCTTCGCCTCAGAAGACAACTCTCATTGCCCAACTTACTTTTCGAAGGACAGGGACGCGTTGGCCCACAACTGGCCCAACCTCCTCCTTTACGCTTTCCCCCCGATCGCTCTGATCCCATAGGTGATCAGGTGAGTCAGGGAGCAGAGACGCAAGGTGCTGTTGGTGGCCCCACTCTGGAGGAATCAGCACTGGTTAGCTCCGCTGCCGAGCCATTGGTTCGTTTTTTTATTCACTGCACGAACCAATGGCCGTGCAGTTACACTGCGTTATTGAAAGGTTTCAGTCATCGGAGAAAAAGGAGTTTTCCCCAAGCGTCTTAAACAGACGCAGTACTCGTTCCGTATCTCAGGGAACCGAGGTTACGTTAGTAACCAAGTACGTTCTCATTCACACACAAGTTTAAGTTAAAAGCACACGCGTTACAAAAACAGTCAGTTATGTCTGTGAAGGTAAACAGCTGTGTGGCAGCAGCAATATACATTAAATAAATCAATAAATCCACTGCTCTCTTGTCTCCTCTGAGGCTGGGACTCAAACAGTGTTCTGTGCTCGTCTGTGCAGCCAAAGACAGAACAGTTAGCATGTTTTGCTCAAACTTTCGCCATGGCATTAGAACTAGTACACCGCTGTCGCTTGCGAAAACACAATAACGGCGCCATGGGTG